CAAAGCTGAAATAAGCCATATCTGCAACATGTTTAGTGACAAAACCCTGTCCCACTTCAAGGAAATCTTAGAGATGCCAGAAACAGAGCACTTATTTTGTCCAGTGACTCTCAAGCTGGTCCTAGTGGCAATAAAAGACAGAGAAGGGAAGTAACCCCAGAGAAGGCTTTGCTACCTAAAGTCTTTATGGAGGGGGATTCCCCTTCCAAACACTAACTTCTCCCTCTTTCCTCTGCCCTATCTTCCAGAAGCCAGCATTAGCCTTCAATAAAGGTATGTAATACTTACATAATTGTTAAAAAAAATTATTTTTTTGTGAATATTTTTGTTTGGAATGGATTAATTGTATTTCCATTAATTCTTATGGGAAATATTAATTCGGTTATCGGCCTACCTTCTGGAACAGATTACGGCCGATAACTGGGGGTCCACTGTACCAAAAAATAGCACTAGTCCTAGGACTGATCCCTGTGGAACCCCACTCTGACACCTTGTCACGTACCATGATCCATTGCAGTGCCTTTCCTGTTATGCGTGCTTGATCCTCTAGCTTTTGTACTAATCTGTTGTGAGGAACTGTGTCAAAGGCCTTTTGCAGTCCAAGAAAATGCAATCTACCCACCCCTTTCTCTCGTGTCGTACTTCCATTACCATGTCATAAAACTCCAGTAGGTCTGTGACACAGGATTTCCCTTCCCTGAAATCATACTGGTTGTCATTTATAAGCTTGTTCCTTCCTAGGTGCTCAACCACTCTCCTCCTGATAATCTTCTCCCTGACCTTGTATGCTATACATGTCAGTGACACTGGTCTGTAGTTTAATGCCTCATGTCTGTCTCCCTTCTTAAAAATTGAGACTACATTTGCCATCTTCCATACCTCAGGTAGTTGCCCAGTTTCAACAGATGTGTTAAAGATTGTTGTTAAGTGGCACACACACACCATCTCTGCTCCCTCTCTAAGGACCCACAGAGAGATGTTGTCCAGTCCCACTGCCTTTGAGGCATCAAGTTCACTAAGCAGCTTCGTCACCTCCTCCTTGGCTGTGTGCATTTCATCCAGCACTTGTTCGTATAGCCCTTGTTGGTGTACCCCCCTATTCTGACTTCCAGAGTCCTCTCTGTCTCCACTGTAAATACTTCTTTAACCCTTTCAGGGTCCGTCCCGTAGATCTACGGCTTTACGTTCAGGGTCCAAACCGTAGATCTACATCATGAGCTCAGCTCACTCTGATAAACTGTGAGTGGTACATTTGGGCCTAGATATGAGAGAATACATCTATGTGGTATGTGTGCACCACATAAAACAGATCCTGCAGCACACTGTGTATAATAAGGGAAAAAAAACTGAAATCATGATTTTTCGATTAAAACAGCAACTTTGCAGTGTTTTTTCGTATGTTTTTTATAGTTGTATTTGCGATTTCTTGGTCTCATTTGATAGAATGGAAGACATATTACAGAAATAGAGATGATTTTGATTGGTTTTAGCACTGGAAATGGCTTGAAACTGAGCTCGAAGTAGCAGAAATGTTAAATTTTTGCCGATATTCAAGAGTAAACAAACGACCTCACACGTCTAATACACACCAGCTGGTGGGTCTAATATGCATTCACAAATATGGTGATGATATTTATACAATTATTACAGTATTGCATAACAGTAAATCTTCTATTTTTTGGTGTGAATAAAAATTCATTATTTGAATAAAAAATCAAAATGAAATTTATTTGTAAAGCCTCAAAACGTAACTAATGAGCAGAGGAAATGTTAGTTTAGTTCCAGGAATACCTACATTGTTTATTCTGGACCCTATTTTGAAATTGGAATATTTTGAACTTTGTGTTAAATTGGCCAAATTAACAATTTCTGATCACTTTAATTTGTAGATGGAACAGTTGACTTGGCGAATTCTTGTGCTCAATCGATAGAATAGAAGTAATACTAGTGAAATAGCTAAGAATTTGGTCGACTGGAATAATATAATTGGCCTAAAATGGGAGTCAAAGTCGGCAAAATCGCCGATTTGTAAATATCACTGACACATCAAAATTCGCGAGAGCATAATTTCGTCAATTTTCGATCAAATTTTGTACTTTTTGTTTTATTACCTTCACAAAAAGATTCTCTACCATTTCATAAGAAAAAATAAAATTTTTTTTTTTTTGAAAATTCTTGGACACTGGGGCACCACTTCAGATTTGGGCCTTGGACCCTGAAAGGGTTAAATCTCATGTTGAGAATGTGTGTGTACAAATTACTATAGTCCTTCTAGACCTAAGTTTGCCCAAAATGCTCTGCATAACTATGGGGCTTTCCATGTTTGTGATGTAATACCATTCACTTTTGTACAATGTATCATGTGGAATAATCTTTTTTTTTATTCTCTGAATGACTAATAAAGTTTGTAATTAGATGTGTTGTCACCTTTTTCAAAGATTTTTATGATGTATGATGTCAGAGCTACTCGTCTGCAGGTTTTGGCTAGTGCTCTACCACCTTCTTTATGCAAAGGAGCAATGTCTGCACTCTTTATGGCCTCTGGAATTTCACCTTTATCTGAACTCTTCCTCCAAAAGAATACCAAGTGCTTCATAAATATAGAATTCCACAAATAATGTCCACGTCTCCATGGGGAAATAGAACAGAATTCTTCCTCTGTAAGCCATTCGTGTCATAAGAAGCGACTAAAATGCCAGGAGCAAGGGGTTAGTAACCCCTTCTCCTGTGTGTATTATTAAATGTAAACTGAGAAATTTTCGACTTTCCTTTTGGGCCACCCCGCCTTGTTGGGATACGGTTGGTGTGTTGAAAGAAGAAAGAAGGTCCACATATTTCTTTTTCGAATTCTTCAAGATCTGTACTTACATTTACTGACTTGTGTGGCCTACAGTGGTAATGAAATTTTTTTTAGTATTCTCCACCTTGCACTTGTTTAATGGACTGCTGAATATTGATTCACACTGATATTTTAGAATTTCACTCATTTCTTTTTCAACCTCAGTGTGTGAATCTCCTATGATTAATTTCACAATTCTACATACAGCTTTTGATGCATATTTTGCATATGTGTAGAAATATTTGGAGTTTCTAGCAATATCCTTGGCATCTTTTTGGTCCCTTTGCAATTCTCCATCTCATACGAGAGCTTAAGAGTTTGTCCTAACTCGGGAATCTGTCAGAGAAGGTTATCTTTCCTTTGATGTAACATTCACATTTTTAACCCTTTCAGGGTTGAGACCCTCGATCCTGAACACGCTTTTAAAATAAAAAAAAAAAAATTACTTTTTCTTATGAAATGATAGAGAATCTTTTCCCGATGGTAATGACACCAAAAGTATGAAATTTGATGAAAAACTTATGGAATTATGCTCTTGCGAAGTCAGAGGTCTCAACGATATTTACGCATCAGAGATTTTGACACTTTGAGCCCTATTTTTGGCCAATTCCAATGTTCCAGTTGACTAAAATCATAGCTATTTTGCTAGAACTCCATTTGTTCTATCGAATGAGTACAAAAAACTGCCCATTTACTGATTTCAACTACCCAATGAAGTGATCAAAAATTGGCAATTTGGCCAATTTCACACAAATTTCAAAAGATGCCAGTTTCAAAATAGGGCCCAGAATAAACAAGACAGACATTCCTGGCACTAAAATAACATTTCCTCTGTTCATAAGTCATGTCTCCAGGCCCCTCTTATATTACTCTTGCTTTCCATTTTGAATTTTTATTCTCGCAAAAAATAGAAGATTTACTATTATGCAGACTACTGTATCATTGTAAAAATGGTATAAATAATATCAACACACTTCTGAAAGAATATTAGACTCACCAGTTGACGTGTATTGGACGTGTGGTGCGATTTGTTTACTGTTAAACATTGGCAAAAATCCTCTAATTTGAGCTCAATTTTAAGGTACTTTTCATCATGAAAACAATCAAAATCATCTCTATTTCTGTAATATATCTTCCATTCTATCAAATGAGACCAAGAAAACGAGAATACAACCATAAATACCATTCGAAAATATACTGCAAAGTCATTGTTTAAAACCAAAAACATGGTCGGAGCTTTTTTTTTCTCATTATGCACTGTGTGTCGCAGGATTTTTTTAATACTGCGCACACTGACCACACAGATCCATTCTTTCATATGTAGGCCTACCAGCTTTCTCCCGCTCGATTTGAAGGCATTAGAATTTACGCATACAAGTATGGCACTGACTCTGGCTCTCAAGCTATACAAGTACGGCACCGACCCTGAAAGGGTTAAGCAGTTTGGAAGCTCCTTTTCTGCATCTATATATTGTTTTACAATTTTTGTACATTTGACTTTTTTTGTGGCTTTCTCAGCAGTGCATATGTTCTCACAGATATTGTATGCTCCTGTATTTAGCTTTTTCAGGCACTGTTTTCCTGGGTATGTCTGATAGTTGTTTTTATATTTTTTCCCAATCAATTCTCTTACAAAGTTAAATTTACTGAACATCTTACACTACCCACTCTCTCATCACCCACTCTCTTCCTCTAATTTTAAGTGAAAAGCAGCAGTACTAAATATAAAATACTGGATAAAAAATTTTTGGAAAAAATTAACTGAAATTACATAGGTACTATTACGGCTCAGGAATGTATTAATTTATTTTACATTATTTCTTATGGGGAAACAGGTTCCAAGTACTGAACAACTGACTTGTGCTGAATTTTCAGTAGTTTGTAATTCTGCATGTATGTATATTCCTCAACTAAACTGAATCAATAAAAAATGTAAAAAAATATATAGCAAGTAAAAGAAGAAAAACTCAACAATTTCTAGAGGATCTATCAAACTTTTTCATAGATGTCATTTTATTTACTTCTCTGAGGCTATGGGTCCTCATCATTCATACCAGAGGTGGAAAAATATAGAAAGAGAGTAAATAAACTTCACAATATTGCTGATTTTTGTCTAGAATTTTTAATTTACAAAAAAACTATTTAACAAAATGCAACCTACCTTTGTTTTTTCTAGAGCCAAATCTTGTATAGAAGTGTCTACATTATCTATGTTATCACTCGAGTCAACTGGTTCACTTTTTACTGTCAAGAAAGAAAAATCAACAAAAATTAAAAGGACTGATAATAGAAGATATCTCTCATTACTTGCTATCAATGTGGTGTAAGTAAATGCAGCAAACTTTGATAACAATACTAATGAAAGAAAACAAAGCTATAATACAGTAGCCATCATGCAATATGCATCATCAATAGGTTATGAACCGTAAATTAAATGATTGAAGAATACATGTTCTAATTATCATAATATGTAGTCCAACATACACTGAAATTTTTTTTTTTTTTATTTCTTTGCAAAGGTTACAATGTGTGTTTACATTTCATAATCTGATCAGTACAAAGAAAGCCACTATCATGCCTGGGCATTGCAGTCAGACTTAACTGCATTTCATGGTTTATCAGACATTTTTCTATTCCATAAAATGTCTCCATAAACTACCCTTTATCCTATAAACTGAAGGTCAGTGACGGGAGCTATAAGTTTGGGGTGTGGGGTGGGCTGTAGCTCTCCCAGTTACGTCCGATGCCGAGCCATTGAAACTAAAACATATCTTATAAGCCGCAAAATACGGTAATACTTAAAGAGTATGTAGGAAAGAGGGAAATTATTTCCCAGTAAAAGAAGGCCTTAGACAAGGATGTGTGATGTCACCGTGGTTGTTTAATATATTTATAGATGGGGTTGTAAGAGAAGTAAATGCGAGGGTCTTGGCAAAAGGCATGGAGTTAAAAGATAAAGAATCACACATAAAGTGGGAGTTGTCACAGTTGCTCTTTGCTGATGACACTGTGCTCTTGGGAGATTCTGAAGAGAAGTTGCAGAGATTGGTGGATGAATTTGGTAGGGTGTGCAAAAGAAGAAAATTAAAAGTGAATACAGGAAAGAGTAAGGTTATGAGGATAACAAAAAGATTAGGTGATGAAAGATTGGATATCAGATTGGAGGGAGAGAGTATGGAGGAGGTGAATGTATTCAGATATTTGGGAGTGGACGTGTCAGCGGATGGGTCTATGAAAGATGAGGTGAATCATAGAATTGATGAGGGGAAAAGGGTGAGTGGTGCACTTAGAAGTCTGTGGAGACAAAGAACTTTGTCCTTGGAGGCAAAGAGGGGAATGTATGAGAGTATAGTTTTACCAACGCTCTTATATGGGTGTGAAGCATGGGTGATGAATGTTGCAGCGAGGAGAAGGCTGGAGGCAGTGGAGATGTCATGTCTGAGGGCAATGTGTGGTGTGAATATAATGCAGAGAATTCGTAGTTTGGAAGTTAGGAGGAGGTGCGGGATTGCCAAAACTGTTGTCCAGAGGGCTGAGGAAGGGTTGTTGAGGTGGTTCGGACATGTAGACAGAATGGAGCGAAACAGAGTGACTTCAAGAGTGTATCAGTCTGTAGTGAAAGGAAGGCGGGGTAGGGATCGGCCTAGGAAAGGTTGGAGGGAGGGGGTAAAGGAGGTTTTGTGTGCGAGGGGCTTGGACTTCCAGCAGGCATGTGTGAGCGTGTTTGATAGGAGTGAATGGAGACAAATGGTTTTTAATACTTGACGTGCTGTTGGAGTGTGAGCAAAGTAACATTTATGAAGGGGTTCAGAGAAACCGGCAGGCTGGACTTGAGTCCTGGAGATGGGAAGTACAGTGCCTGCACTCTGAAGGAGGGGTGTTAATGTTGCAGTTTAAAAACTGTAGTGTAAAGCACCCTTCTGGCAAGACAGTGATGGAGTGAATGATGGTGAAAGTTCTTCTTCTTCGGGCCACCCTGCCTTGGTGGGAATCGGCCAGTGTGATAATAATGTGATAATACTTAAAGATTACTTAAGTCTAGACAGGTAATGAGTCAAAAATTTCAAATACTCAATATTTTACTCTATTATTAATATGAGGTAGTACAATTTATAATACAAACATACATTTTTAGGTTTGTAATAATGGTTTAATAGATAAAGGGAGAGTTGCTTCGAATTTGGTTAGAGATTAGCATAGTGTGGGTATGGTTATTACTGAGAGACGAGATGATTTTTAAGTATAGTCCTCTTGCTGGTTCGGGCAAAGAGTTTCAGATCTTCGGGTCCTTTATGTGCACTGCATTGTTGCATGTGAGACAGACACGCAAAACACGAGGAACAAAACTGTTTTGTGCCTCATGTTATGTCTGTGTGTTCTGTTGTAGCTGTTTAGAAATTTGAGCGGAGGGTTTATATTGGAGTTTAATCTTCTGTACATATACCTCTCCTCACTTAATGACGAATTCATTGTTAAGCAAGAGCATACTATAATGGTAGTGGGTTTGTATCAACCATCTTTGATATTGTTTAATTGTCACCTTTGCACCATTTATAACATTTTTAGATGTTTATACAGTAGTGTACTGTATAGTGTAATAAACAGAAGAGAGGAAATCGGCTCTAACATATTTAGGTATGCACACTTGTCAGAGAGCCCATTGTAAGTTCGAGTTGTTGGTAAACAAGTATGTCGCTAAGTGAGGAGAGGCTGTAGTAGGGGCAATAATAAGTGTGTATATTTTGTATATTAAGCAAGTTCAAGCTCTTGAAGAGTAGTGGATGTGTTGTCTGGTGCAGGAGTTTGTGATCATGCTGCAGTCACAATGATAAAAAATTCCAACTACAGGCAGCACACTCTACCAATATTCAAAACTCTAAATGTACTCACCATACAAAACATCCATACTTATTACTGCACCTACTACATACATAGAACACTTAACTCGAATATAACCCTCCCCTCAAATGTCTCCTTACCAACCTCAACAGAACACATGACCATAACATGTCCATCTCATGCTATGCAAAAACTCAATGCACATAAAAGGCCCTAAAATCTGGAATTCATTATCTGTGAATATAAAAGAAACACTGTCTGTATATAAATTCAAGTCTCTTCTCAAAAATCACCTACTCGCCCACAACTAAATAAATACTGAATAATTGTATCTCATAAATTGTATCTCATAAATGTTTCTCATAATTGTATCTCATAAATGTTTAACCTGTGACCCAATCAAACTTTGTTATTTTTTTAATTACATTACCTAACGGAATACTCCATTCTACTGAATGCACAGCAACACAATAAATGACCATATGACCTGTCTTTGTAATACTCATTTGCACTAAATTGTTATATGTTTACAATAATGTTTTACCACTGAATATATCATTGCTGAGTTAATCTTAAGTTAATTTTAAGCCTGCCCATAATGCTCTGCATACAAGTGGCTTTGGCATGTTGCACTTTAACTAATGTATTCCTTTGCACTTCTCTGTATCATGTTCAAATTAATAAATTAATAAATCATCTGCACCGTAGCTTTTTGTTAGGTTATTAACCCCTTGACTGTTGAAACCCCAAATCCTGAGATGTCTTTTGGTGTCAAAAAAAAAAATCTTATGAAATGATAGAGAATCTTTTCCTGGTGGTAATGACACTAAAAGTATGAAATCTGATGGAAAACTTATGGAATTATGCTCTCGCAAAGTTAGCGACTTCGGCGATGTTTACGAATCGGCGATTTCGCCCACTTTGAGTCCTATTTTCAGCTAATTTCATTGTTCCAGTCGACCAAACTCATAACTATTTCTTTAGGACTCCATTTATTCTATCGATTGAGCACAAAAAACTGGCCATTTACCGATTTCAACTACCCAATAAAGTGGTCAGAAATTGGCAATTTCACCAATTTCATGCAAATTAAAAAATATGCCAATTTCAAAATAGGGTCCAGAATGAAGAATGCAGACATTCCTAGCTCTAAAATAACATTTTCTTTGTTCATCAGTTATGTCTCCAGGCCCCTCTTGCTTTCTATTTTGAATTTTTATTCAAACAAAAAATAGAAGATTTACTGTTATCCAGACTACTGCAATATTGTAATAATTGTATAAATAATGTCAACCAATTCATGACTGCATATTAGAATGGCTAGTTGGACATTTATTGGACAATGACATCATTTGTTTACTCTTGAACATCGGCAAAAACCCAACATTTTCCCTACTTTGAGCTCCATCTCAAGGTCCTTTTCATAGTAAAACCAATCAAAATCACCTCTATTTCTATAATATGTTGTCCATTCTATCAAATGTGATTATGAAAACGAGAATATAACCATAAAAACTATATGAAAATACACCTCAAAGTGGGCGTTTTAATCCAAAAAACACGGTCAGAGTTTTTTTTTTCTCATGTACTGCATCCTGCAGGATTTTTTTTATACAGTGCACACTGACCACACAGACCCATTCTCTCACATGTGGGCCTACCAGCTTTCTCCTGCTTGACATGAAGCCACTAGAATTTTTCAGTGCATATACATCAAACACAATGGCTTGTAAGGCATATATATATGACCGAAACAGTCAAAGGGTTAAGAACCAGGGTGACTTCATTGGGCTTGGTTGAAGGAAGATAGAGGGATGTAAAGAAATTTCCATCTAGGTAATCACTTGCTGGTATTGGAGCTTGGAATTTTCTATGGTTGAGAAGAAATCATTTATGTTATTGGCTGTTTCAATAGGCTGGAGTTGTAGTTCAATGGGTTTAGGACAAAATCTCTAGTTTTGTTCATCTTTTGGTTGCCCAGAATTTAAGTTTCTTTAAGGTCTTTTTTTTATATCACCTCTTGTTTTGGTGAATTTGTTAGAATAGTATAGTTGTTTGGACTTTCTTATTAGTTTAGTGAGGAATGATGTACAGTTTTTACAATACATCTAAATCCTATTTTAAAGTTAGCCACTGATACATAGGAGTGTGTATTCTGTTCATGTGATTTTTCTGGTAAGTCTCAGACTCCTTTCTTTATTTGAAGCCTTTTTGTGTTTTGTCACAGTTTATTTTCTGTGTGAGGCTTTTTTTTTCTACCCATTTAATAACATGGCATGCATGCATGCATGCATGTATGTATGTATGTATGTATGTATGTATGTATGTATGTATGTATGTATGTATGTATGTATGTATGTATGTGTATGTATGCATGCATGCATGTATTAATGTATTTTTTTTTT